TGACAACAGATGGCGTTTGGAGTGAAAACTCCATATCGATTGGATCTGAATTGCAACATGGAGCAAACTGCGGATATAGCTCCGTGCGCCTCGGCTCTTTGCCGGTCTACCGACTTGAACGTCTTTGTAGCATATCATCTAAACTGATGGTGAAAAAGGGAAATTCGATGAAAAAGGTGGGGGTTTGTTCTTACCACTCAAACGTAAACGCAATCTCTGCCTTGGCTCCTCGCCTTCCTCCTCCTTTCCTTCCGGTCCACCATCTTCACCTTGTCCGTCATCTTCTTCTAACGCATTCTCCTCGCGTTCAGGAGTCTCCGGTGCCAATACCCTACTACCCCCTGCGACACCTTGATTTTGGGTGAGTTCCTCTCCGTTGCGAGAGCGGCTTCTAGTTCCGGGACCTGACGTTCCTGCTTTCATCGCCTCTTCTGCCAACCTTCTTGATTCAGCCAATTCCTCTTCTAGAGTCATTTCTTTGTATCTCGAGTTCCGAACTTGTTCTTCTTTGTTTACTGCTATTCTATTTTAAAATTGAGATAACTCCTCGAGATCTATATGAAATTGAGTTGTGTGTAGAAGAAGGTTTGCTAGGATGCGTGTGTGAGAGTAATAGTTGAAATTTTTCTTTCCAACTTTGAGAACTCTCCGCTCCGTGTACTCCCTCGCTACAAGCATACTTCTTCATCTGTACACACAACTCCTAGCCATGGAACTCCGTACCAAGTCGTGCCTTGGTTGGTGCTCACACGGAAAAACCAAGTGCAAAATTGAAGTGGTAGTAACTCAATGCGTACAATGGAAAGTTATAATTGGTTTACAAATAGAGATAGAGTAAAACTACAAAGTCACTGAATTATACACATCGCCAATGTTTTGGTCCATAATGCGACGGCGGTGGAATGCATTGCCCTGGGGGAGTTTTATTGAATCGTGCATAAAGAGTAGATTGCATGGTAATATGTTAACGGAGCAGTTGGTCCATTGAGATCGGGGCATAGCCGCGTTGGCGTCGACTGCGACGGAGTTGTGGTGTGCAGTGCATAAACTGGATTGCGGAGACCTGAAGAAATGCATTAGTGATGAGATTGTTCGGTTTAATGGAAATACGTACTCCGATTTCCCATGTGTTGGACTCCAAATTATGGCCAATGACATAACCACGGAGACTGATAATATTGCCAACGGAAAGGGCATTTAGAGAGAGTGTTGATGTGATCCGGGAACTGAGAACGTAGTCGGCGTGAAATTCAACGGGCTGTGTAGGGGCCAAGGAGGGAGATTGTAAAAGCATAGTGAGAGCGATCAGTAACCTACATTGGAAACATGTGGCTAAGAGGGAAATTGAGAACAGGACGGGTGGGTGCTTACGTTGGCAGTTGAGCTGCGGTGAAGGAGTCTCACAACCTCGGCTCGACGTCCATCACCATGGCAAGGGCGGGTGCTCCAATGAGCAATCATACCGACACCGTAGACTGAAACTTTATTGCTGAGAGAAAATGGTGGGACTTGGGGTATTGCAAGATTGATTGTGAGAGCAGAATCTTCGAATAGGACAGAAACACTATTGGAGCCGCCGGCGGCGACCTCACCGTCAATTCGGTAAGTGCGATTGGCAGTAAGGGTGGTATTGTGTTGTCCTCCAGCGATGAGAATGGTTACGGATTGTAGTGCACCAGAGTTAATAATAACGTCACTTTCAAAACAGCGAAAGCCAGCGTTACCAGCAGAGTCTGTTGGATGCGTCTGGGTTGCAAATGTCAGCTACGAAAATTCAACGGTAAATAAATCACTTACGGCGTTTTGTGTTGAAAATACACTACTAAACCGCAAGGGAAAGGCAGATAGCTCGTGTAGACACATCGACAATTGGGAAATGGGCAGCTAATGTGAAAAGAAAAGAGAAGTGATGATTGTTTTCTCATTGTGTCGAACGGAAGCTACGGGCCAGTTTTATGTCAATAAACGCACCTCTGAGAGCCACGTGACATCAGAGGGGATAGATGAAGGCAGGATATGAATCCGCGGCGTCGGGCATCAAGCAACGCACGATGAGGCAAATGATTGACTCATTTCGATGGGCTGGCCTACAGGATCGAAGTGGAGAACTTACTAAGCGACGGGCTGCCTCGTTGATGAGGGTGATGTCGTATATTGGAGGGAAAAATGACAGCGGTGCACGGCTGGGTATAATGATAGTGAAATGAAATAAATCGACGGTCATGAAATAGGTTACAGTGCAGTAATAGTGAGATAGACAGTGGTAGCTCTGGCAGAGCCCCGGTCGAAAATCAATGTCTTGGTACGGGAGTGATTAAATCATAGGGGGCTGCGCGCAGCAGAAGCAACAGTTGCGTTGTCATTTCGCGACGGCGTCTTTTTTTGGTATCGAGCAATCTTTCCTTTATATGTTTGATCTTATTTTCATCTGTCATGGTATGTTTGTTCCTGATTTTGTTTCATGATTATCTCATATGTTCCTATGTTGCTTTTCTGTTCCTGTTTCTCATTCTCTTAGAGCATCTCCAACGCAGGTTGGTAAACGTAACAATTTGGACACACACGTAAGCTGTAGGTTACGTTTACCAACCCTGGTCACAAAACGACCATCCAGCGCGCCCTGAATTGTTGACAGCTCACTATGTGTGCAAGTTTGAATTTCCAGCAAAACAGCTTTCACATGGTTGATACTCTAAATTTGAAGGACCAACTGAAGTTTTGCAGCAAGCTGTATTGGAACAGTATTGGACAGACATTTGGCACATGTGGTGATAAAGTCACCACATGCGTCCTATCTTCCCATTGTCCAACCAATTGATGGCTATTTAGTG